GGGGGGGGGAGGCCACAGGTTCCACCTTGAATCTAGGGTCCGCAGGAAAAGTGCCCAAAGTGGGGTCATTTGGAACCTTCCCTCTTTACTTAGGAAGGCCATAGTTGAAGAGTTCCAGAAGCTTCCATAACCAAAAAGTCCAGGGTCAGAAGGACCATTGTTTCCAATGCAAAGGTTCTGGAAGTGTCTTTGTTAGCGTGTCGGAGAGTTCCAGAATGGCCCACCATTTAGAAGAGTTCTCGGGTTATCTGCCCTTTAGAATGGTCCCAGTTGAAGATTTTCATTGGTGCCGTTATTTAGAATGTCCCCCGAGGAAGACTTGCCCAGGTTTCCACGGCTGAGATGCCTGTAGTTGAAGACTCTCAAATGCCCACGGTTGAGAATGCCCACTGTTGGAGAGCTCTAAGTGCCTGCTGTCTGGAGTGCTGCGGGTTAAGCTTTGCAGGAGTGGCCATCACTGCTCCTGGGACATTCCCAGGCCCAGCAGGGAGGGTCCCCTGCTGTGGGATCTGAGAGAATCGGAACAAAGCCTTGTATCAAGGGCAAGGTGGAGCCAGTGCTCGTAGCTCTGCGCTTCCCACACTGGAGCGGCCAGAACCCAAGGGGGGCCTGGCTCTCGTGGAGGGAGTGGAGACCTGCAGGAGAAAGTCGGCCCCTTTCACGGAGGCTGGGAGGGGGCTCTGCTGAAGGCAGGGTCGCCTGCTCGGCCCTGACGGTGCGTCCTTGCCCTGTGCTGGCAGAGTCCAGGGAGAAAGCTGATCTCAGTGGATACGAGAAGTGTCTCCCTCCTTCCCTTGGAGTTCCACGGAGACTCCAGCTATGAGCTGCAGGTGCGGGCAGGGCCCCAGCCCGGCTCCTCCTTCCAGGGGACCTGGAGCGAGTGGAGTGACCCGGTCATCTTTCACACCCAGCCAGAAGGTAGGTGTGAAGCTGGGGTGCACACCCACCCCACTCTGTGCTAAACCTTGTCTTGAGCCCTGAGATGTCCAGCATGGTTGCAAGGTACCCACTCAGCTGAGCACCCCCGGTTGTAGCCATTTGACATTTCTGGAGCCCCTGCTTGCCAGGCCCTGCATGGGGTGCCAGGGGCTTCTCCTGGCAGGGTGTGCGTACCTAACAGCTCTGTAGATGAGAAAAGTCAGGCTGCTCAGCAAGATAAAGTCACTTGCCTGGGATGGGGGTGGGAGTGGGATTCGAACCCCCATCCATCTCACTCCAGGGCACCAGCAGCCTTGCCAGCCCTTTCCACTCCGCCCCGGACCCGCTGCCCAGCGC